CCCTCTCTGTCCCTGCCCACCCCAAATCTCTGACCCACACCAGATTTCATTCCCAAACTCAGGTTTTTTCCTGGGAAAGGCATTGCCTGTCCCAAACCCAGTGCTCACCCCCATCCCCACAAAGTCACATCCCTGAAAAAGCCCAAATACCTGAAAAAAAACCCCACGGAGGGATGCAAATGTGGGAAAGGTTAAAGTTGACGTTTGCTGCYGCCTGCTTTTGGTGGCAGCATGTATTAGAGGTATAAAAAAATAATAAAATACACCCAAACTGTACATATTATAAGGCCATATTTTTATCTCGGGGTTCTGGTGACACGTACAAACCACTTGAGCTTTGCTTCTGTGGTTTATATCGCCACGAGAAACCCTTGATAAAAATACAGCTTTATATTGTACAGTGGGGTATAGTTTATTTTCCCCATATATCACACCCTGTGTTTTATTTATAAACAGACCCAAAGACACTTGCACATGCAAAGCAGTTTTTTTATTGAAGTAATTCTGAGGTATCAATAACCCTGGATTAACTAACGCAGYGCCACACAATAATTTTTGGGGGGTAGCAATGGCCTTTCTAAAGAGACATCCATGAAAATATGATAAAACACATAAAAAAATCAGTATTTCCATGTTACGATTTACGATTCCCATACTGGAAATTTCAGCTTCTGGTGGCTCGTACTCRCAGAGAACCCTGCTAAAACCACCTCAAAATTTAGCTTTAATGTCTCTTGAACCCTTCCTACAGAAATAAAGCTTTTGGTAACAGAAACGCAGAAATCTGAAGGAAAACTACAATGATAAAGGAATGTGCTGCTGATWAGGAAGCAACTACAATGAGCTTGTCAATATTTTGCCTAATTTGGCTAATCAAACTGCTTATCCAAAATTTGTCAGCAACATCTCTTGCCCTGCTTTACTAAAAAAAAAAAAAATACTCCCATCTCACAGTCCAAAAAGAAAAGGCAGGAGTAAGGAATTGAGTAGCTGCTTGCTTTTTTGCAGATCTCACTGTGCTCCCTTAACTCCTCTTTAGGTAAAACAGCATTTTCTGCCCCAAATTGGGGAGGGGGAGGGCAGGGCCAGGCGTGCCAGCCAGACACCTCCTCAGGGGGAAACTTCCACCTCGCATTTGCCACGTCCCTCCCACTCCCTTATCCCTGCTTTAATGGACATTAAAAATAGAACAAAACAGGGCTGGAGATGGGAACAAAATCCATGCACAACAGGCCTGGATCGCTGTAGCCATTCTGCTGTAAAATGTAAAAACAAGAAAGGGCAGGAGAGCTGCCTCCCCCAGGACACAGCCTGCTTTCCTAACACAGCGCTGCCACCGCGCATTTCCCTTCCCCTCTCGCATTATATTTGTGTGTCACTCAAATATTTACCATTTCTGCCAGTTCTGCTGGCTGCTCTCAGCTCCACCAGGAGCCGTGGTTGTGTGTTTGGGTTGGTCAGGGGCATCAGCACAGCAGCTTCTCCTGCTGCAGCTTTTCCTGATGCATTTTCTCCTGCTGCAGCTTCTCCTGCATCCTCTCCTGCTGCAGCTTCTCCTGCATCCTCTCCTTCTGCATTTTCTCCTCCTGCAGCTTCTCCTTCTGCAGCTTCTCCTGCTGCAGCTTCTCCTGCATCCTCTCCTGCTGCAGCTTCTCCTGCATCCTCTCCTTTTGCATTTTCTCCTCCTGCATCCTCTCCTTCTGCAGTTTCTCCTTCTGCAGCTTCTCCTGCATCCTCTCCTTTTGCATTTTCTCCTCCTGCATCCTCTCCTTCTGCAGCTTCTCCTGCATCCTCTCCTTCTGCATTTTCTCCTGCTGCATCCTCTCCTTCTGCAGCTTCTCCTGGAGCTTCTCCTCCTGCAGTTTCTGCTCCTGCAGTTTCTCTTTCTGCAGTTTCTCTTTCTGCATCCTCTCGTGGGACAGCAGCCACTCCTTGAGGATCTGTCCCCCGCCGTAGTTGCCGGTGTCCCCGCTGCTGCGGATCACCCTGTGGCACGGGATGATGATGGGGATCTGCCAAACACACAAAAAAAAATCTGAGGGTGAGGTGCAGGGAATGAATGAGAGGATGGTGCCCTCAGTGTTCAGACACAGGATGGGCTCGATGGGTTTGGGATTTCCCAGCCTGAGTGCTGCTGTGATGCTCTGAGACCCTAAATCCAGCCCTATAAAATCCAGGAATTCTGTGGTGCTCACAGGGAAATGGAGCAGCCAAAAACAGAGCCCATCACCACCCCCGAGACCACCCCAGCTCCTGGGGAAAACCGGAGTTTTTAATACTTAAAAATGATGTAAAGAATTTAAAAGGACAGACCTGGGATATGAAATCCCATCTATAAAAYCTTCCCTGCAGCAGCCCCACCACAGCCTAAAAAATTAGTTTTCCTAACTAATTTCAGAGCCCAGGGTGTGGGATGAACCTCACAGCCCCAATTAGATGGGATTTTGGGCAGGAATTRTTCCCTSKGAGGGTGGGGAGGGGCTGGGATGGAATTCCCAGAGAAGCTGTGGCTGCYCCTGGATCCCTTTGAGTGCCCAAGGCCAGGCTGGACATTGRRACAGTGGGAGGTGTCCCTGCCATGSCAGGGGTGGCTCTGGATGATCCCTAAWRTCCCCTCCAACCCAAAYCAGTCTGGGGTTYCRTGCTCATCCCAGGATTAGGAGATTTCTGGGAACAAACAGCACAGAGCAGGGATCTCCATGCCTTGGTTCCCTGGCAGATCCCGCTCTCTCCACCTGCACCACTCACAATCCTCTGGGAGACCAAGGCACCTTTCATTATTTAACACCAAATCAGTCCAAAATGGGTTGGGAATCTTTAAAACCTCCAACAGGGGAAGTTTCATTCTGACCCAACCAATTTTTACAAGTTTTTTTTTCCCTCCTCTCTGCCTTCTACTCCCTCTCATTTATAAGCACACGGCACAGCTCCTGCAAAATCAATGCCAGAAGTTCCATAATGGACTGATAATGCAGAGAAGAATATAAATGTGTTGGGGTTTTTTTTGTTTTTTTTTTTAATTTTTTATTACAGGTGATTATCATAGCTGAAGTACACACCATAAAAACTGCAATGCATCATCTCTAATCACGGGTGTGTTTTGGTAACTGCATAGTAATGGAGCTGGGACAACCATAACTCACCCAACAGGGCACTTCTCACACATTTGGATATTTCAAGCCAAAAAGTATAATTTATTTCTGTGCAGACACACAGACAAATTACACACTTTACTCTGACTTATTTTAATCCCATTTAATCATTACAATTCAAGCACTGTGGTACATTTGAGCCTGGGATACACAAACCCCAAAGTAGTTGAACAGCCACTGGCCAGACCATAAAYTGAGAGGATTTTTTTTTTTTTTTGGGTGTTCTTTCAGTTTTCCTAACTAATTTCAATGCCTGAAATTTAAAATCTCAGTCTCGGCCCACATTAAATGGAAATACACACAAGTACTCAYTGTTAATCAAGGTTTAAATAAAGAAATGCTTTCAATATCTGCTTTATTTGGAGGTGGCAATGCYACAAGTGAATTATTCCTTTGTGAAAACTCCAGTCAGGACCAATAAAAGCTTTGCTCCGTGCCAGGCCATCCCACAGCTGCTTTATGACTTCTTCAAAGAAATTGGGGTTTTTTTTTTGCAAGTGTTTTTCTGGTTTGGGGTTTCTGTGCCTTTACACTCCCCACAGTTCCTGCAGGAGCTTGGCCTGAGTGACAAAGCCATAATAACACACTGTGAAACATCTCTGAGGTTCATCTGCAATTCTTCCAAAACAYACACAGCCAAGCTGCAGATTTTGGTGGCGAGGCTGTAAATCTCAGTGGAGAAGAAAAAAAGGACTTTTAAAAAACCTGGTGGGTTTTTGGCTGATCCCTGGCTGGGTACAGGACCCGTTCATGGCACAGGGAATGAGGCTGAGCTGCCCACCATCAAGAAAAAGGAGAGGTATGACATTAATGCCACTTTTCCCACACCCAAAATAGAGAATTCCCTGCTGAGACTGTCCCAACACGARAACAGTCCGTGCCCCTCCACAGCTTTGGATGCAGAAATGTTGCAAAGACTGAACCAGCACCGTAATTTAAAAATATTGAATATTGCTTCAGTTTGGCTTAATTGTGGTGACAACGTTCAGCCTACTAAAATAATTAAACCTGCTAAAATTTATTAGGGCCCTAAGGACATTTTAGAGGGAGAACTACCCTAGTCTGGAGCTTTAATGCCTCAGCTACATTTAATGTAATTTTTATCAATAACCAAGCAGCTCATAATATTATAGCGCCGCTGAAATCTTCACGCTGTGAAATCTAATTCCTCTGCTCTGTGAATCCATCACCAGCACGGCCCCCACCTCAAACACCATCAAACTTCCAAACCCACAGATTTGTCTCCAACAAATCAGAAAAAAAATATAAAAAACAGAAAAAAAAACCAACATGAAGGAGCCCTGGGATCGATGACAGAGTCCCTCTGATTCGGGCACCAGCTGAATATTTTCTCCAASTTGGCTTTTGTTCTTGTGGGTAGCTGCCCACAAGGGAAGGAGCTTGTTTTCACTCGCAGCCTCATCAATACCTAAATCCTGGTGAACAAGTGACACTGAGAGGATGGAATCAATAGCTCCCCGTGCGTTTTTTCTTCTGGTCAAACGGCTCAGCGCTGCTGACAGCCCTGACACTCGGAACAAAATCTAAATCTTTATCAGCAGCCACAGGGGCGAGAGCCACAATGGGATTGGGCGTTTATTAATGCTYGTGGACATCTGTGAATGAACCAACTCCTCCAGAATGTGTCTGTTGGGGGGAAAATGGTGAGGGAAGAGCTCCCTGCCCAAAGGATCCATCCTTCTGGAGTGAATTTAGCAATTTTGGGGTCTGGTGGTTCCCAGTGGTCAGTTGGAGGTGAGGGAACTGTCCTGTGGTGTGGCTGAAGGGCTGGAGAGAGCCTGGAACCACACAGATCAGCCAGGCTGGCATGGAAACATAGAGCAAAAAAGGGTCCTGTGGGGTGCTCATGTCTCAAAGATCATCCAGCTCCACCCCTGCCTCTTCTCCAGCAGAAACAAATCCTGTGATGTGACCCAATGGGGTCCCAGGTCATCACCAGCCACCAAAGGAAGTGAAGGAATTGGGAATGAAAATATCAGCTAAAGGTTTTTYTGAGCCCAGAGGGTGCTGGCACTGCCCAGGCTCCCCAGGGAATGGTCCCAGAGCTCCAGGAGCATTGGCACAGTGCTGCCAGGGATGCACAGGGGGGATTTTGGGGGTCTGGGCAGGTTCAGGAGCTGAATCCATGATCCTGGGGGTGCTCCCAGCTCAGGACATTCCATGATTCTATAAATGAGCACACAAGTGGTTTTATGTGTGAACAGCGTTTCAAATCGACACCTCACAATCATCTCATGAAGGAAGGATTGCTCCTCCAGTGTTCAAAACGGTTTGGCTGAATGCCCAAATATTGATTTATCTCAACTGAGGACGGATTGATGGAATATTCTCTATTCAGGAGAGCTGATACCAGCACCAGGCTGAGCCCTGGCTGGGGTGAGCCCAAGGAACAGCCCCGCTGCAGGGRGCTCATTTAAGGCACAGAACTCCTTTGGGATGGCCTTTAGGATGGCCCAACATTCTCCATTTCCTAGGACCCTCTGGGATTTCTTTTGACCCTCCTCTAGCAGGTTCCTAACTGAACTCTATGGGTTCTCCGTGGTCTGACCACAGCCCCTGCAATCACTGTGAACCACAGCAAACCCTGGGGAGTCTCTCCTGCAGAAGGGTATCCCAAGAACTGTGTGAAAAATCCCAACTGCAGGGGGAAACTGTGGAGTGCACTCTGACCAAATTAACCTGGATTTGTAGGAGGGAGAAATGCGCTTGTTTTTGCTGGAGAAAGGTGGGATTTGTGATTTTATCCAATGTTTGAGGGACAGTGCCTGGCTCAGGGTCATTTCAAAGGCTCCTTTTTCCTGGCACCACCATTGTCATTCTATCAGGTTCCTCACAAATCCATCCACCACTACCCCARGTTGCTTCAAGCCCCTCCCAACCCRGTCTGGAGCCCTCCCAGGRATGGGTTTGGGGTTTGCACTGAGGGTTTAGACCTCGGGGGGCTGTTGAGAAATCCATGACCTCCCGTGTTGTTTCCACTCTTGGTGTTTTCTTTAATAAGATTCGTACGAGGCTGCAACATGGAGTTGCAAATTGGGTCAGAAAATCTGTTTTCGCAGGAGCTGATGGCTTTACACACAGAAATAACAAAGGTGAGGGGTTTTTTATTTTTGCAGTGCCACATTTTATCTTTCCCCTCATGCATAAAATCTGTGTGTGTTAGGCACAGGATGGCTCACAGACCAAGCACCACCAAGACATTTCCATGAGAAACACCAGCAGCTGCTCACACTGAAGAGCACAAGGACCATGAGTGTGTTTGCATGTGGAATTTGGATGGAATTCCACATCACCTCCAGGAGATGAACAGTGGCAAAACTGTGGTTTGCAATGGGCAGGACTCTTATTACAGGACTGATTTTTTTTTTTTAATCATCAGCTTCCTAAGATGAAATATTGAGGTGGTATTATATTAATGCAGCTCTTTTTTCCCTACAGCTATACATTATTATCTATAACCATAGCTTAAACATTTTCTGCTGGGGACAGGAACCACTGCAGCCACRGTATGGGCTGGGAAATGGCAATAATAACCAGGACCCCATTTAAAAAAATTGCAGCAGCTTTGCTGTATATTTTCAGAACTATTTTCATCCTTCCTCACAGGGGAAAAAGCAGGAATTTTCACACCACAACCTGCTGTTACTGCTACTTTGGATGCTGCTGCTCCACTGCAGCCTGAGGGCAAAGCTGGGTACATTTCTAGGCGATAGCAATTACATCTCCTTTTGCACAACACTGGATTGTTATTCTTTGAGAACTGTTTCCTGCAGGTTTGCATTGGATTGCCTTTTCTGAATGTACACCAGGTTCTATTGGAAAGCATCCCATCATATTCAAATAGTTTGTTTTGTCAAGTGCAATGCTGGGTATTGACAAAACACTGCTTTGTGCTGTTTGGAGGAGCTGTTTGAGGGGAAATCTGATGGGTGCTGGAAATAACGGGGTGGGCTCAAAGTTAAACCCCACAAGGAATTGTGTGGGTCCCCCTGGATGGTGCTGCCTCTGGGGAATTGTGGAATGAGATGGGTGTAAAGGTTCCTTCCAGCCTGGATTGCTCTGTGACTCTGGGATTCTGGGGTTCTGTGGTTTTGGGATTCTGTGGTTCTGTAATTCTGTGATTCTGTGATTCTGTGATTCTGGGGTTCTGTGGTTCTGTGTTCTGTGACTCTGGGATTCTGTTCTGTGACTCTAATTCTGGGATTCTGTGACTCTGTGGTTCTGTAATTCTGTGGTTCTGGGATTCTGTGGTTCTGGGATTCTGTAATTCTGTGATTCTGGGGTTCTGTGGTTCTGGGATTCTGTGGTTCTGGGATTCTGTGATTCTGAGATTCAATGGTTCTGTAATTCTGTGATTCTGGGGTTCTGTGGTTCTGGGATTCTGTGGTTCTGGGATTCTGTGATTCTGAGATTCAATGGTTCTGTAATTCTGTGACTCCATGGTTCAGTGATCCCATGACTCTGTGATTCTGTGACTCCATGGTTCTGTGATTTTATGACTCGGGTTCTGGGATTCTGTGACTCTGTGACACCGGTTCTCTGACTGTGATTCTGTGACTCTGTCACTCTAATTCTGTGATTCTCTGACTCTGTGACTCTGTGATTGTGTGATTCCATGGTTCTGTAGGTTTAGGGAACTGAACTCCTGAGCAGTGCAGGTCCATCCCTCTGACCCCCAAACCCTCTGACCCCAGCCCAGGCACCCCAGGGTGCTCCACCCACTGATGTGCAGCACACCAACCTCAGACACCAACCCCTGGGACTAGGAGCATGAACACACCCGAAAAGCCAAACCCAGGCAGAGAAAAGGAAAGATAATTACTGAGAAATTAGWGTAACAAAATGCTTTTCCAAAATCCACCAGCCTAACCTACAGTGCTGCTCCCTCCAGCTGGTTCAAATTCAGGCCACTCACCTCCAGAATCCCAGACTGGTTTGGGTTGGAAAAGACATCAAAACCCATCCAGTTCCAACCCCTGCCATGGGCAGGGACTCCTCTCACTAGCACAGAGTGCTCCTGCCTTGTTTTCAGTACCATCTTCATGCCAGAGGGGATGGACTGTTTTTAACACAACCAAAACTACTCAAAACCTGCCCAGTAACGTTTTGACCTTAAAAAAAATCTAAAAAAGTTAGASAACAACCAACTGTGCAGAGGCTGGTGAGTGCCAGGAGTGTTTCTCTCCCCAACCCAACACCATAAATGGCAGAGCACAAATCACACAACACTGGGCTGTGCATTATTGCTGAATAAAAACACTGCCCGACCTCACTGCTCATAGCAACTCACTTTTCAGAGCAGATAAATTTAATCTAAKGCCATTTAGCCCCCAAAGCTCCCCAAAGGCAGCCCCTCCTGGGGTTGGAAGGTGCCCTGCACTCACCGGGTTGCTCCTCATKGCTCCCCCCACAGCTCTGGCTGCCCGGCTGTTRCCAGCAAGTTCTGCCARCTGCTTGTAGGAAACGGCCTCCCCRAACTTCACATCATTCAGCAGGGTCCACAGCACCTGCCTGGTGAAGGAATCTGCAAGGCAGAGGGAGAAATTGGGATGAAAAAGTAAAAAAACCCAAGAGAAGTGATGCTCAACGGCACTTTTCTAATTTAAATGGAAACAGCCCCATGCACTGTCATGTTATTGTGCCCTATATGATTACATTTAAATACATGATTATTACAGAGAGTGCCTGGAGTACCCAATCCCTATAAAAAAAAAAGGATTTGAGGCTTTGATTTTCCTGTATTTTTAATTTGCTTCCAGGACAATTATCCTGTTAGCTCGTACARTGTGCTTTTCCCCATTAAATTGGCAGGGTATAAATCAGCACAGAGCAAATGAGAAGGGAAGGAAGGAGTGGCTGCACCTCTCTGACAAGGGCCTGGCACCTCCAGCTCGTCCCCAACTTTGGTGGGGACACCCCAGAGCCAGCACACCCCAAATTCTCCTGAATGGTTCATTTTATGGGGGACACTCAGAGATGTGAGGGCTGGCTGTGATCTTGAGTGCACTGCACATCCTTAATGATACAGGGGGTAAAGAAAAACCAATGTATTGGGCATTATTTTAATTTTATTGGGTGGCAAATTGCTTCAAGTGTGCCAGCAGCTGGAATAATGAACAAGAAAATGCAGTAGGAGAGGATTTCCTCAGCCCAGGGTGGTTTAGGGCAGGAAAAGGGAAAGTCCTGTTTGGATTGGAATTGAGTTGAATGCCTCCTGCTCTTCCTAAGCACTTGGAAAAGCTTTGAAGATCTAACTCATGGATAACTTAATAAGAGCAGTGAGCTGGTGACCAAAAAAAGGGGAAAAAAAAGGAGAAGAGACCCATTCCCCCAGCTGAGAGCCTCAGCCTCCTGCTCTGGCAGAAACAAACTGATTAAAAACATTTTCCTTCTTTACTTGTCAAAATAGACATCGATTACCTTCCTTAGGMAGGTAGAGAAATGTGATTTTGTTCTTAAAGGAAACCCATACGGCRTTATGGGTGTGTTAAATAATAAAAATCACTTCTTAACTGAAGGGAATGATAATCACTTCATTGAAAAAATCTGTTTAGTCTTTATTATAACATTAAGCAAATTAAACATCAGCATAATCCAGGTGATACGAGAAAAGGGTCATCAAAGAAATTAACTTTGTTGTTCATTAATTTACATGGATTAGTAGAGGGCAAAGMGATAGCAAATCTGCTCTAGTTTTTTATGATATAATTTCAAACTGTACACCATTTGTGGCAGTAGGGTGACTTTGGGGTTAATCAGACTGATTTGTCCTTTTAATTGCTTTCTATTCAAAGAAAATTCATTAGATAATGTTCTCTTCAAAATTCATGAATCAATTTAACTGAAGAAACCACATTAACAGCTTTGGGTTCATTAGCACGAGCAGTTGTGTTACTGGCTGATTGCTACGAGGCTTTCCTTAGGCAAACACATTTTGTTTACTGTGATTCCTTCACAAAGGTTTCTTTCAAATCAAATTGCTCCTTATTATTATGATGATTATTATTTTAACCTTTTGAATCTGGCAGGATTAGCTTTAACCCCCACCCTGCTCAGAGGTCCTGGGGAGTCACTGCCTGATGGCAGCTTTTAAATCCACGCTGAACACCCAGAGCAGAAAATCCCCYTTTTGCCCTCAATTTTGGCAGGCTGGGATGGGATGGACCCAAAACTTTTGGGAACTGTTAGAATTAGGGAGAAAATGGAGCAAAGGGCTGGACATGGAGCAGATGGGGGGAACGGGGCAGTCCCAGAGCCCCAAAAGGGCCAAGGGATGCCCAAATTGCCCAGGACAGGCTGAAAGGGACACAGAGAATTGACTTGAGCAAAATGCAAAATATAAACGTTGCTCCCACTTTTTTTTTTAAATTAAATAAAATTTTGAAGTCATTTACTTGAGCAAAACACAAATGTTGCTGCTGGAGGTGGGKTTTTTTCCCTGCTCTGCCCACCTGGGCCATACCTGGGTACAGCACACCTCATCCAAAGTGAGGTGAGGGGTGAGATTGTGTCCCTGGGGCCTGAGAATGACAAGGGGAAGGGGAATTTGGAAAAAGGGGAATCTCGGGAAGGGAAGCTGGGAGAGGGGAATATGGGGAAGGGAATATGGAGAAGGGAATCTGGAGAAGGGGAATGTGAGGGAGCTCCTTGGAACAGGGTGGGGTGTCAGGTGAGCACCCAGCTCCTCATTTCCATCAGCTCTGGAATCCACATCCTCTTGCAGGTTGTAGGAATCTGCTCTTGAGGGCATTGTGTGAWAAAATGGGTCAGAATATCAGTCAGTGCTCACGTGAAACACCCACTGACTTGAAGGGAGCTCACCCTGCAGAAATGCTGCTGGATGAGCTCCAGGGACAGTTCCTTGCTTCTGAGGACAGAATTTTGCCCCACAAGCCCCTCCTGAATCTGTGGAGCCCTGTGTAAGCTGTGCTAAAGTACAAATTGGGAGCAGCTCCATTAATTGGGTTTTTCTGTGTTCAGAGAAAGCATTTTGGTCATTTTGCACCGAAGGGATGCGCACACACAGCCAGTTTGTACATCACTGTCGTGTTCTGGTTTGCTTTATCTCATTCTGCAAACATTGCACAGGCAATGCATAAAAGCTCAATAAAAGTGTCTGATGTGTGATGGAATCACAGCCTGGGTGGCAAGGGATCCTAAAACCCACCCAGTGCCACCCCTGCCAATGTCCCAGGCTGCTCCAAACCCTGTCCAACCTGGCCTTGGGCACTTGCAGGAATGGGGCAGCCTCATAATAAAACATTTGAATTAAACAATTATCTCCTCACACATCCCTTGCTAGGTCAGTTTTGTGTAGGGTGGCAGCTTTAATATGCCTTTAATAGTAAAGAAKGCTCAAAATTGCTAAAAATCACCTTTCTTGCTTGGATTAATTGCCCACACCATTGCCTGCTGTCAGTGAAAGTTCTGTAAATTGAGTATGAATCTGTTCTTCCCAGATCCATGAGCTCATTTGAGTTTTCTGGCTTAGGTGGGAGCTGCTGCTGCAGTGGGAGCTGCTGTTTTTCAGGCAGATTTGGGTATTTTTGAGCTGTTGTGCTTGAATGGTTGTTTTTTTTTTAACCAATAGTAATAACAGTGAAAACCAATAAGTGAAGAAACAGCGAGGAAAGTTGTCTGGGTAGGACCCCAGGCAGGCTGTGGAAAAGCTGCTGAGGAGGGGAGAGTGTTTATAAAACGTCTCTGCATTTGCAAAACTCTGGGGGAAAAACAAACAAACAAAAAGAAAATAAAAACCGCAAAAATAAACCAACACGACAAACAAAAACTAACATTCCCAGCAATCAGCGTTGAGGGGAAGGAAAGAAATTGGCTGTCCTTAATTCCTCTGAATCAAAGTGATTAAAAAGGATGGAGAATTAGGCTGTGGGGTTTGGGGAGCTCTCTGCCCYCCAGAGGGGGCAGGAAAGGATTCTGGGCTCTCTGCTCTTCCCCCATCCAYCCTGAACCCCAAAAAACTGAGCCCAAAAGTGCTGCTCAGGGATTAGGGRTAATTTATAATCCAGGGGATGGGATGATCTTTAAGGTCCCCTCCAAYCCAGACCATTCCATGACTCTGATGATGAGTTACAAGTGTATGATTTTACCTCTTTGAACTCATTACACCTTCAATTACACAGTTAAAAGTTACAATACAGCTGGTGTTCAAATAAAATTGATTTTCTCTCCATTATCCCCCTGGATTTAACATATTCCTGTGGAGAATTAAGGTCCAGTGGGCTCTTAGAGGGGACCTCTGGGCATTCAGGCATCAACAGCCTGAATATTTCATTGAATTTAAAAAAAAAAAGAGGTGAAAAAAAAGAACTTTAAAAGAAGTTAAATAATGGAGTGCAAAAAGGGATTGATACAATAGGCCTAGATCAGAAATGGCTGAAAATATAAATGCAGGGTTTGGTTTGGGGGAATATTCCCTGGCCCATGATAGGGGGTTGGAATGAGATGGTCCTGAGGGTCCCTTCCAACCMAAACCACTCTGCATTCAAAAYGTACCAATGGTGYTTAAATCAATGCTATTCCTCTCACACCACAGTATCCAAAGGAATCTCTTCCCACAGTTTATAATCGACTGGTGAACTGCTCAACACCTGAGAAAAACACCGAAGTTTCTCATAACCCGATGTGAGGAAATTAATTACAGAGCAGAGCAACCCCTGCTTTGTTTGACACTCCCTTCTCACTACATTTTCAGCTGGATCCAAATAAGAAGAGGGAAAAAAAAAAGGTGATTTTCTGCTTTGTAAATGCCTCTGCGAAACACTCCAAACTTTAATAGACATGTGATAATAATATTCCTGAAATAGCCCGCTCAACGGGAAGAACGGAACAAACTTGTTTCACACATTTCCCAGCTCACGGGAGCATGTGTCTCCTCCAGGGCATAACCTTGTTATCAAAACAATAAAAAGGTAGAAAATCTGATTTAAAATGACACAACTTTATCAATGCAGGCGAGGCGATGTTTTCCGACATTGATGTCCCTTCATCATGCCCAGATCGTAAACGACAGTGAGGGCAATGTCAAATCGCACCTCGCTTTGAGCATCCCCCGCCACAACAAAAGAGCCCGCGCAACCAGAGCGCCGCGGTTTCATCTCCTGTGTTATGCTAAACACACTAATAGCCATTAAAAATGCATGAAGGCACAAACACGGGGCCGGGATGGAAAGGATGGGGATGGGACGAACGGCGCTGTCACCTCGCCGCCGCCGGCCTTGCCGGGATGGAGCCGCCAGAAACTGTGTCAGCTTTATTAGCAAAACATGTCACGGCGCTGCTAAAAATACGCTGCTTCTCCCTAAACTAGGACTGTGCCCCACAGTCACACCGAAGCGCGAGGAGAGGAGCCATATAATCAACATAATTTGACTTAACTTCGGGGAATATTTACTAAATCTAAGGGGGATAAATTTGATTGATATCTACCCATGTGACTTATTAGGCTTTGTCTAAAAAAGCCCCAAGGTACTGTTAAATAATTTTTCATTGATAATCATGCTGTCT